TATATATATATATATATATATATATATATATATATATATATAAAATTTCCAGACATGGTAGTTCACAGTTATAGTCACAGCACTTGGGAGGTTGAAGGAGCATTAGTTGTAGGTCAGCCTGGGCAATGGAAGGAGATCTTGTCTCAATTCTATTTTTCTTTGATCTAGCATTTTTAGTTGTTTATTAGCAGGAGAACTGGCCAACATAAGTCCTTGTTATTTCTATCAGAAATCTAAGTCTTGCTTTACACATTCTGTCCTTTTAGGACTCTGGGGTTTGGTTAACAATGCAGCTGTTCCCCCAGCACTTTCCTACCTCGAGTGGTTGCAACCTGAGGACTCCATGGCTGTCTTTCAAGTGAATTTCATTGGTTTGGCCCAGGTGACTCTGAGCATGCTTCCCTTGGTGAAGAAGGCTCGGGGCAGGATTGTCAATATCTCCAGTGTTTTGGGGAGACTCGCTTTTTCTGGAGGATTCTACAGTTGTTCCAAGTATGGAGTTGAAGCATTTTCAGATATACTAAGGTAACTAACCCTACTACAATAAAATCAAATGTCCCGAATATTTCACTGCTGCGGACATTTAACTTTGTCCTTTCCCAGAGTACCTGTTTCATTACTCTCCATATCTTTTCTGTGGTTGTTTGACACAGTGTCTCACTCTGTAACCCATTCTGGCCTGGATCTCACTATATAGGTCTTGTTGGCCTCAAGCTAAAGCCCTTCTCCCATCTTGGCTTCCTACATGCTGAGATTGTAGACATGAGTCACTTAAAATCCTTTGTTGCCGTTTTGAATCAGGGACATAGGTAGCCTTGGCTGGCCTCTACCTTGCTTTCAGGTAGCTGAGGGCTTGTTTTGAACTCCTGAGCATCCTACTCTAACTTTCCCGATGGTGGGGGGTTACAGGTGTGTGCTATCATCTAGCTTCTAGTTTCTCTGAATGTAGGTGTGGGCACCGTGTCCATTTCTGTGCTTGTAGAGATCAGGAGACTGTGTCAGATGCCCTGGGACTTGAGTTATGGCCGGTTGTGAGTTGCCATATGGGTGCTGGGAAGCAAATCTTGGTCCTCTGGAAGAGCAGCAAGTGCTTTTGTTCAAAGAGCCACTTAGGGGCTGGTGAGATGGTTCAGTGGACAAAGTCACATGCTGCAGAGCCTGATGACCTGAATGAATTTCATCCTTGCACACATGCATGCAGGAGGGAGAGAACTGACTCTTGCCAACCGGACTCTGTCCTCCAACAGGTACAATGTGGTAAACACACACAAAGAGAATAGAATAAAACCTAAACAAGCAAAAGAACAGATCAATTATCAGATTAATGGTTATAGGGGCTGGTGTAATCCTGTTCTAATTATTGAATGTTTAAATTATTATTTTTCCCATTTCTCTGTCCTTTATTTTATGCTGTGAGACAGGGTCTCACTATGAAGTCATAGCTGGTCTGGAACTCACTCTGTAGACCAGGCTTGCCTCAAACTCACAGGGATCCACCTGCCTCTGCCTCCTGAGTGCTGGGATTCAAGGAATTATACTACATTTGGCTCTCCATCCTTTAAAATCTTCATTATCTGCAGTAAAGCTATTGTTGTGTGTGTGTGTGTGTGTGTGTGTGTGTG